GAGTTGATTACCCGTTTATTCCAGGTTGGAAGTGATTATTTGACTCAGTTATTGAGTAACTGAAAGTAAAGTGAGAAATAATTTTAAATTGTGTTGGAAGTGGATGAAGTTGTCTTTGTTACATAATTATATCCGTCGTGCAATCCGACATGGAGGAAGTAAAGTGAACAAAACTGAGCCATTCTCGCGTACTACTTATGTGATAAAGGAATTTCTAATTCGATTAGGAAAATCAATTGGAATTTTATCTGTAGCTGTCGTATTTATTGATCTCATTGGCTATCCAGCAAGTATTACTGGATCATCAATGGAGGTTACTTTCTCTTTCAACTCTCTTCTCTCCTGAGGTTCCGATATATTGTTGGGCTTGGTTCTGTTTGATATGAATAGCACAATAACTAGTCGAAGAAGTAAACAAAAGAATTAACATATGTGATTTGGGAATTTGGCAACTGTTAGAGAATGTTAACAAATTTTATTGTACATAAAAGTTCCTGTTTTATTCTAGGGAAGAAGAGAACATAAGTTTTGGGAAGTTAGGATTTTTTTTTTCAAATTTAAATCTTGTAAAATCAAGAATCAGCAAACTTTGCGGACGAAGATTATTTGCTATGTTAAATATATGTGTTGCTGGTACATTCATCTCTTCTATACTGCCTGAGTATAATACTTTAATTTCATATTTTCATCGACCTGTAAAATCATACCGAATAAAATGATTTGACTGCAATGTTTAATCATCCTCATCATTGTCTTGTTTAGCCAACGCTACATGGTAGTAACAAGAAATGGTGGAAACGGGATATTGTCTGGTTATCACGTTTTGGTTTACATACACCGAGGATCGGACAAGTTTACACATTTATGTATATTCTTTATCCGTCTCGTTACATAAATTTTTTGAGAACACGGAAATTATAATCATATTCATTCAGTTATGTTTTGCTTTCGTTATTTCATTGTTTTCAAGTTTATCAAATTTTCTTCAAGATTCCTCATTTTTTTATTTCAAAATGGTAATTTGCAGATCACCAAATGATCCGGATAAACGTCACATTAAGCGTATCACTGCTGTAGATGGTGACATAATCAGGTGTCGTATTTGTTTTGAATTTATATTGGTTTTATGATTAAGTCAAATTTAACACTTTCATTATACATCTTCGATTATATCATAAAATGCTAGTTTCCTGAAATTCATTTTTTTTAAAGTTTATACAGCCATCACTCATCATGACAGTGAGGGCCGTAGCTTTGTTAAGTTTATACAGTTGTCATGATTATTTTGAATTTGGCATTATATAGCAGTTAAAGACAAATAAATGCTTTAATATTTACTTCAAAATTCGCTTATATTTCTCCTTTTAATGAATTTGTATTTCGTTCGAAATTCTTTTATTGTAGGCCAAAAAGCGGGCCAAGTTTCTTGGAAATACCAACCGGTTGCTACTGGATGGAATCAGACAACCCTAATAGTTATTCCGATAGTAGATTATACGGCCCGATAAGTTTTACAGCCATTTCTTAATCTCAAGCAATATGTGATCGAAATTATTACTTTAATTTTAGAACATTTGTCGTGCTCAAATTTTGCTTTTCTTTCCTCTTCAAAAGAATTATAATCCTCACTTTTCACTTCTTGATATGTAGTGATAGTCATGAATTTTGTAAATAAGCCGGTGGCATTTCAGGTTTCCGGAGGATTGTTAACAGCTCGGGCTACGCATATCATCTGGCCCCCGAAACGATGGCGTACCATTAAAACAGAAATGTTCGAGCACAGTACTGTCCCTGTTTCAAGACGACAGTCATTTATCGGAATGAATCTTCCATGGTGATTTATAGATCTGAGAATAATATATGCAATACTTAGGAATTGTAATAATTGTTGTTAGTAATAGTGAAATTCTCACCAAGTTAAGCATTCGGCCAAAACATCTAATAAATTATACACATCGTTAATGTTCAAAGTTATGAATTCTTATGCATTATTGCTGGAGAGTACAGTTGTATACCAAGGATACGATAAAAGCATTGATTCCGAAAAGAAAGTATATGAATGATCGAATAACCTTATTTAATCTGTATGCTGATCGTTTTTTTATGCGATGTTTAAATATTGTTCGAAGATACTTATTCATGCAACTGATCTCTCGGAATCATGATGATCCAAAAAGTAACCCTGTACTAACACTGATTTGCATCAATTCCCAGTGATAATAACTGAACATCATTCCACAGCCTTTCGTTTCAATGTGAATGATGAATTATTAGCGCGTTTCTCTTCTCTTTTTATCTTGAATTGAATCAATTGTAAAATACCAACACAAAAATTATGAAGTAAAACTAGCAACCAACCACTGTGTTTAAGGGGTCGTGAGCTCCAAAACTTGCCTGCAATCGTTTTTATATTCTAATTATTCGAGATAATCGTTGATATTTGCAAACCGGTAACCGCTTAAAATGTTATGTGGAATTGAAAATTCACCTTGAGTTGCTCTATCTTGTGACATATAATTTGTCAGATCTTTGAATAATCTTTTCAAAACGTTTGGTGCAAAATTCGATTTATGCAATCTATGCGAAAGCTGCACAGCAGAAAGTTTTATTTTCACTTGCACGGCGTCTGAATAAACTGAATTAAAAAACATGACATTTATAAGATTTCCAACTATGTCTGGAACATATGTGAATAATAATATACAAGTAGTCGTAATAATACTGTACAAATATAACACTATAACTTAATAAAGACCACGTCTAAGACGTGTATCAATTACATACGTCTAAGAATGTATAACTGATAAACGCGGGTTTAAGTCCATTCAGTTTATATATGAAACTGATCCGTAAATGGACGATACATATAAATAATACTCAAACGTAACTTAACAGATCTTTATACTGTATCTGTTCCATGATGACATTTGGGAAATTCCAATTTCATAAATTACGAATTACGACCGAAGTCAGTATTGCTACCTGTAAGACAAAGAAGGCCACATGGTATAGCACTTCATAATAATGTAGTGAAATATGGTTATCTTCCGAAGAGAAAGCTCTGGTACCATACTTTAGGTTTGCAACAACTTAACTCGAATTGATTCTTTCTCAAAAGACTGAACACCAGTAGCAATATATAAAAGTTTTTCGTTTTTAAAGTTTTATGGAATTCGGTGATAATATTTCCTAAACCATAATGGACATAATTTCGATATCATCGAAAGTGATAACATTCTCCTGAATTGAGAAATTCTTATAATTAAAAATGCCTCATAATAAGTACAGTGTAAATTCGGCATTTTTCATTATACTACTGATTTCCAATAATATAAATCACTGCGGAACAATTTCAGCAGGATCTAATGTACTGTACTGTTAACGAATCCTAATAAAAGTTTAAAACCGAACAAAATATCGTAATCATGCCATGAACATATATCCTTCAGCGTGGCTGTGAAATTAATCATTGGGAATGTTTTGTTTCCATATAGCAGATTGGAGAAATCCAAATCCTGGTTAATCTTTCATATCGAAAAGCCATTCTTTCGTTAAAGCCAAAGAAACTGCTGCATTAATTTTTTGTTGTCTTGCATGCAGTTCGAATTCTCTCAATCTAAAAGTGCGCTATATAGAAAGAATTAACTTATGCCTAAATCAACGGTCATTTTATAAGCAAAGCAAAACTGTTTTAATTACAGCATAAATTCGACATTTTTTGTTCCATTACTGCTTTGCGACGATATAAGTCATTACAGTATATGTTAAATAAAGTTTGAGAAATATTAATATTAGCAACTAAGAGCTTACATCGATGAAAGTTCATTTCTAACCACTGATTTCGATAAAGTGTTGTCTAAATTTCTATTTGCTATTTCAGCAGCTTCCAGGCGGCACTAAAATTGATTTTTAAAGTAAACGAGAAAATTTTCTCAAAAATTAATATAATTTCATCATTGAAATGTGAAATTAAGAAGAATTGGGAAAGACAAAGAGTCCGAATATTTTCTAAAAGAATTTCTGAGAGCATTTAGGACTTTTCTATCATTTATCACATTTGTTCTATCAAAGGTTATGATAAAAATGCATTCTCATATGTGATGAACAATTACCTCATTGGTTTGCTCAGTGATAGTAATCAACTGGAGAGTTTCCTCCAGTTGCTTTTTCGTTTTAAAAAGTTTGTGCGATAAATCAAACATATCCCTGAAAAAAATGAAAACACCATTTGGGAATATATTCTCAATCAATCCAGTTGTTAGCAAGACAATTAATTATTATTGCAAATGCGAAATCCTTCCCATCTCACACAGGAGGATGTAGATTTAACCGTGCAAAAATAGAAAATTTCCAATATGAATTGAATTCCTTCACTTATCAGGTATAGATAATGTGTAACATTCACTTTTCTAAAAAAGGAAGAGCTAAAGTGAGAAGAGAACAATTTTATACCTTAATTATAAAATCTTTATTGTGCAAACCAACGTGGGATGGAAGTTGCTTTACTGCACACTAGCAAAAATGAAGTTTTTTTTAGTTTTGAAGAATGTGGACCTATAAGTCTGAAGCAGACAAAATATGCTTAGTTTCTGGCAAAATTTGAAAATCACAAAATTCAGATAACAAAAAAATGGAGCAAGAGAAAATAAAAGCTTACCTAGCTATCATCTGCAATGGTTCCATGAAGATATCACAGAGTTGCTTCAATTTTTCGTCATAATTTCTCACCGCTTTTTCATAAGAATTCAATAAATATTTCCTGAAATACAAGAAATTTTCTTCAATAAAGCGCTAGAACAAATGATGAAATTGGTGGAAAGATATTTCTTCCCTTTTTTTATCTTTCGTATTCAGATGATTTTTTTTCAGAAAAGAAAATGATAATTTCAAGGCGTTAGGAATAGAATCCATGAAGTATAGTTGACAAAGAGGTTACAAGCAAAAAAGGTACAAATGGATACCATATCAAACATAGCATAAAAGACAACATGCTTGAAATTATATTAATTGATGTTCAAGAATAATTTATTGCTTCAGAAAGAAGAAACCTATCAGTCTCCATCTGTAAAACGTTTTCCGAGACGCGGTTACATGGTGAAAAAGTTCGCAGTTTCTGAAAATAAAAAAATACAAACTGAATGCTCTTCTATTTGAAATATACCTGACAATACTTCATAAGCCTTTGCATACACGTTTCTTTGCAGAAATAAAAATTTCTATGTTAGGTAATACATATTCAAGATGCTTTTTCTTGATAGGATATTTTATAATTCTTAATAACCGTTTTTAATTTTCAGTTAATATTTTAAAATCACGAGCGATGTAGAAATTAACGGATATATAACGCAATATAGCTAACAAACATACACAAGAATATGTACATACTCATTATTTAAACAATATGAAATAATAAACACACCACAACTGCTTCCAGTTCAACCTTCAAGGACGGCTCTTTCGTGATGTGTTTCGATTCAACAACAGCGATACGTACATCAATTTGCTGCAACATGCTACAAATCCATTTCACTGCCTCTGCAAAACGTTTTCAGAAAAACAATTTATATCATATCCAAAAGAATCTCTGCCTTCTTTTAATTTTTTGAATTCTTTGATAATATTAAAATTCATAAAGATCGTTTACTGCTGTTACTTTAACGATAGCTTGTGGCATTTGAAACAAGGATGAACGCTGGTCTATCTTGAAGTTCACGCTTATCAGCAATAACATCATTATGAACAACTATTTCTAGCAGAATGCCCCATCTGCTAATAATTAAGTTGAAAACTAATAACTACCACGCTTTGAATAAGAATGTTGCAAACAGAAAATAATTTGGCCAGAGCGTAATATCTTCGTTACGAGACCGCATACTGGCTATATTCGACAAGTAGTTATGCCACACACGCGTCAAAAGATGAGTCAAACTGAACTGTCCGATAATCGTGAACATGGACATCATTTAAAATATATCACTAATTATAACATAATGATTTCAAATATGCATATTTCAAAAAGGATGAATATAAAAAAGTGACGCACCTCTGATAAATTTCAGTTCTCGTACAACTGAAAGTGCATTATTTTCAACTGCTTTGCGTTCCTCCGCTGTTTCCTTACTCAATGCAATTGCTTTCGAAAGTAAGCGTAGTTGTTTTGCTAAACGGCTTGCAAAATTGCAATCGTGCGTTAGAATTTCAGCTTCTTTCAACAATTTAGCATATATTGAACGCAAAATTCGAGTAACATCTGGTATTGTGTCTTGTAATTCATATGTCTGTCGTTCCACACTCAACGTACTCGCAGCCGCAAGTTTCATCTCATGAAAAGTTGGATCATGATTACACTGCGGAAACGGTGAATGTACTGAAAATGTATCAAATTTCGATCGGCCATAAATATATTAATTAGTCATTCATTCAGTATTGTATCAAAATCAGAAGAATCATTCATTACACACTGCACCGAATTTTTGACAGGGTCAGGTTCTTCATATTAACTGCTAGCTACCGGACAAGATATCAGAGTAAGAGTACAAAAAAGTACGAACGGATACGAATTACTTGCACAAAAAATTGATACTGCATTCTGCCGATAGTTAAAAACATGTACTGATAGAATAAAACGGCACTGATAAACATACAGATTGACACGGATTTGAATTTCAAAGGTACAGTAAATCAGATCATAAATGAACCTTAAGAAGATTGACTCACCGACTGGTTCTGGTAATCTGATTGGCATAGTATAACTCTCATTATTCTGCAGTCCCATAACAATAATATCAGAGCATCGATCGATCAAGCACACAGGAAATGGAGGTGCCTTGTACACGACAGCGGAACCAGCTGGAAGTGTTAAGAGACAAATCAGATCATGTGGTGGCGTATCATCTTTCACATAAACATCAAAGTAGGACCTGAAAAAAATAAAAGAATCAAATCTTCTTGAGATATTAAAAAGTTACAAATAGATTTTCCACTTTTGGAACCCATATACTTTTTTTAAAAAATTGGAATCTTCGAAAAGTACTTTACAAGTATACAAAATTTGGAATTTCCTTACTTCTCGAAATGATCAACAGCTGAAGTATCAAAGTACTCCTCCAAGCACATGATGTTCATTTTAAAAACACGTATTCGCTTCAAATTTAACAACTCTCTGCACATTTCATCAAATTCGTTAAATGTTAGACGAGTTGCTTCACGTCTATCAAACAGATGCCGAATGAATTCACCGAGAATACGACGGAAAGTCCTGGAAAAACAGATTATTCACCTGGAAAAAACAGATTATTCATGAGAATTATTTTGTCAAACAAATATCTTTCGATAAATTTCAGTTGTTTCTTTAATTGCTAAGCAAATGCCTTCTAGGTTCCAGAATTTACTATCTCGAAAAAAAATCACATCTCTGGATACAAAAAGATAAGAAAAGGCACTTCGGGTATAAACAACGTCCATTTGGAAAATCTTTCTGCCACAAAAATTCGCCCATTTCATTTGCCCGGCCAAATATAGCATCCGATGGCCGACTAATCATCATATTATACATTCCAAGCGTGTCTGCTGGTCCTATAAAGCAATCAAAATGATAAAGCACTATCTATTGTTTGAAATCATTCCTTGAAGTTTAGATTTTAATATACATTTTGAATGGGACAAATATATCAGCCAAACCATTGCGGTCAAAATAATATAAAGCTTAGAAAAAAAAAGTTTCCCAACTTAAACATTCTAAATTATTAATCCAATTTTGATTGATAAATTTTTACCTTGTGCAAATATTTTCACTCTATGACACAATATAATTCAAGCTTACCTTTTGCTGGTACAAAAGGTAAAACACCCGTCGCACATTCGAATAGCGTACAACCTACTGACCACAGATCACATTCATCTTTCGTATATGACAAAGCCGCCGTTTTTCGGGCTAAATTGGCCGTTGAATATTCATTCTAAAAAAACATTTCCAAAAATGTTATATATGGTGTTTATGCAGACAATATTTCAAATCATTATTTCAATACATAACGACTGAATGTAATAAAACAACTGATTGTTT